GTGTCAGTTTTTCAGTTTTCTTGGTTTCGTTGCTCAGCCCTAGCTGTAGCATCAGCAATGCTTTTGTGCTCAGCTTCTATAGTTAACATGGACACAGATCGTTGCTTTTTCGAGCTCCACGCAATAAGGTATTTACCAATAAAAACACCATATCCTAATACTGACCTGCGATCATCTAGGTTTCCTCCTCAGTCTGCATCTACAAAGGCTAAAACCAGCACCTTAGTCTCAGTTGGTGAGAACAACATCCCGTAATTCATCGTTCCTGCTAGATATTTAAGAATCCTCTTTACTACAGCAAGATGAGTCACTCGTGGTGCATGCATGAACTGAGCAACTTTCCCAACACTTAACGAGAAATCAGGCCAAGTGTGACATGGGTAAAGTAATGAGCCAACAATGCTCATATATTCACTTGCATCCTCCACCATCTCTCCTTCCTCAGGAGATAGTTTGCAAAACAGTGTCATAAGCGTAGAACACACAGCTGTGGTTTTCATACCAGCATTCTCTAGTAATTCTAACGCAAACTTATTTTGACTAAGAATGAGCAAATTGTCACCCTATAATACTTCAATTCCTAGGAAGTAACTCAAAGCCCCCAAATCTTTGAGAGAAAAATTATCTTGTAACATAGCAACAACTGTATTAATTCCATGCGATGACCCTTCTGTGATCAATATGTCATCGACATACACTAACAAATATACTCGATCAACACCATTGTCTTTAAAAAAATATAGATGAATATGCTCGAGAGACATAAAACCCTATCTCCAATAACGCCTCTTTTAATTTGGAGTGCCAGTTATGAGGTGCTTTCTTTAACCCCATACAAAGCCTTCTGTAGTTTGTACACCAGAGGAGAGCCATCATCAGCCATCTATTCGAAGCTCGATGGTTGTTGCATAAATACAACCTCTTTAAGGTCACCGTTGAGAAAAGCATTGTTGATATTTATATGCTTTAACTCTCACCCACTAGATACTGCTAAAGCAATGACAAGATTCAATGTAGAGAACTTAACCATTGGACTAAACGTATCATAAAAGTCATGTCCAGGGACTTGAGTGAACCCTTTAGTCACCAACCGAGCCTTATGCCAATGAATGGAGCCATTTGGGTTACGTTTCAGCTTAAACAACCATTTCCACCCAACTGTTGTTCTTCCAGGCGGGAGCTTAACCAATGACCAAGTGTCGTTCATCTACAAAGCATCGACTTAAGCCTGAACAACATTCTTTCATTCTGAAGATTGTAGTGCTTCCTGAATACTTATAGGGATATCATCATCAAAATGACTTGAGAATGCTTTTGGTTTGAAAATGTCACATTTAGTCTTTGTCAACATGGGATGAATATTTTGTGTTTGACATGTTGCAGTGTTTTGATTGATCTCTTGTACCACATGTTGATCATGATTACTAGTACCACCATGTAACCCTGATACTTCAGTAGTATCTGCCTAATCAAAATATGGTTCAACACTATTTGGTTGACCTAGATGTTGACTAGTGTTGCCACCAATACTATTATATAAATCAGGGATGTCACCAACACCACCATGCATATCAGGCTCCTTACGTATATTTACATTACCCTCATAGTTTTCTGACACGTTTCTCGAGGTTCCATGAAGACTGGAATTCCTACCACCCTGCATGTTAGCAAGTTCCTTGATATTTGAAATAATTTCAAGCTCCTGAGGACAACAAGTGCTTTTGTCAGGAACAATTGTGTTGCTACTTTTCCTTTCAAAGGGAAACACCCATTCATTAAACACTACGTTTCTCGATATGTAAACTCGTCCATCACGAGCTAAACATTGAAACCCCTTATGCTGAGGGCTAACACCCAAATAAGTGCGGGGTTGAGACCAAAAATCCAACTTGTGTTTCTGAAAGCAAAGGCACCCAAAGACCTTGAGTGCTTTGTAATCAGGTTCTCTTCCAAACAACTTCTCAAAAGGAGAAAGTCCTGCAACACCTTTGTTGGTAGTTTATTAACAAGACTAACCACAATAACAATGGCATAAGACAAAAACGTTATGGGAATCGAAGCTTAAGATAAAAGAACAAGAGTCAATTCAACCAAGTGTTTATTTCTTCGCTCAACAATACCATTTTGCTCGGATGTATGAGGACATGTCAGCCAATGAACAATGCCAGACTTGGCCAAAATATCAGAGAAGGTTCGAAACTCCTCGCCCAGACACTTTGGACTGCTTTGATAGGAAGTCCAAACTGTGTGTTCACTATTTTTTGAAACAACTGAAAAGCTATAATAGCTTGGGACTTTATGCGAAGCAAATAAAGCCATGTGTGACGAGTGAAAGAATCAACAAAACGATATATAATATCGAAAGCCATTATAAGATACATGAGGATGTCCCCATAAGTCAGTATGAACAAGCTGAAAATGAACATTATATTCAGTAGTAGATTAAACAAATAGTAGTTTATGACTCTTGCCTATATGAAAAGAAGAACACATTTTATTTACATCTAAATAAAACTTTACATCAACAAGTTTTGCTACTTTATTCAATGTGTCCAATGAAGGATGACCCAAGAGCCTATGCCATAACTCATCAACTGGCAGATACTTTGTAGTAATATTGACATCTTCCTTCACTACTGCACAATTCTTCACAAAAGAATATAAGCCATCTACTTCTTCACCATTTAACAAGATTTGCCCAGTAGTCTCATCACGCACATAACACTTCTTGGCATGAAACTCAAGAAAAACGTTGTCCCTAGCAAGCTTTGAGACCGAGAGAAGGTTTTTGGTTATTTGAGGGACATGTAATAAGTCATTTAGAAATAACACACGATAAGCAGAAGACATAATAGAGTCGCTAACCATATCAATATCAAGTTATACTCCATTACCTATATTGAGTTTACCTGGACCAAGTAACTCAGATTGATTCACTATATTAGATGCATATGGAGTGACATGTTGTGTGGCTATGTGGTTCATGAATCCACCACCCACCGATCAGCAGCAGTAGTGACCACATTTGCCTATGACTGTGTATTAAGAGAAGCATCTGAACATCCTTTAGATTAGTAGTCATAACTCTGACTTCCTTTACCAGAAGTATAGCATATATTAGCTGAACTTTCTTTGGATTGACCATAATTGTCAGATTCCACACAAGTAAATTCTTCATCATATTGATGCCAACATCGGTCAACTAAGTGGCCAAGTTTGCCACAGAGCTGACACTGCAATCTCGTTCGCCCACGCCCCTTCCACTATTCCTCATACCTGGTTCATTAGTGGAACGATTTGACTGAGAGTCTTGACGGTTATGAGCATTGTATAATCCACGAACCATATTACCCTGGGTAAGATTAGCACTAACCGGCAATAGGTCATTTTGTTCATCAAATCCAGCCAACTGTGACTCAGCATCCATTAACATCGTGTAGATGCTATCCAGTGACAACGTTTCCTTCATGGTCGTTATAACTGCAATGAATGGCTTGTATTCAAGAAGTAATCCTTTCAAGATTGTAACAATATGCTCAACATGAGATATCACACTTCCACAAGATGTAAGCGCATCACATACCTCCTTCACTCGAGTGAGATAGGTGCGCATGTTGTCACTGCCCTTATTCAAAGAATGAAGCTTGTAGTGAAGATTCATTAACGTTGTTGTAGATCTGTTTGCAAAGAACTGCAACACTGTTTTCCATACTGCTGTAACAGTTTCTGCTCCCACACACTGAGGAAGAAGATGAGGGTTGATGGTCGATAGTAGCCAAGAAGCAACAACATTATCTTGTGCAACAAATTCTTCATATGCTTCATTAAGACGTTCCTCACCATCATATCAAGCACAGTCTCCGGTGGAGGCAACATGGCTCCAGTCAAGAGTCGTTCAAGACGGTGACTGCGAATTATCAGTAAGATATGATGCTTCCATAGCAAAAAATTTGTCTCATCAAGAATAATGTTGACCTTCTTGTTTGAGAATCCTTTTGCACATCCAAGCACAAGATCCATAATAAGCAACAAAGCAGCGAGAATGGATCAAGCAGCGAAAGCTTACATCACTCACCCAGAACCAACGACGATTGATATCATATTGAGCTACTGAATGTTTAACAAGTCAATGGTATATTCATCAAAGAGAGGTGATTACATGGTGCTTACAAGCACAATATTAATGCACAATTTTACAAGCAGTTAACCCTAACAAACTATCTAACCACCCTTAACAGATTAACAGTCCTCTAACTACTGCTGACTCAACTTACACTCCACTACATACACCTCTAATAATATATATTTAACATAAAATATTACGTTGATTCCTGGCCAGTGAAACTAAAACCTCATCCACTCGTAACTTACATTTGCTCTACAATGAGCTCAACAATCCAAACACTTAACCTCCAACCGCATCCCTCCCAAAAGAAGCGTAAAAAAGTTTTTATGTTTGGCATTATTCTATACAGAAATTGTAAGTAAATGAACAACGTCGTTCCAATCAATTCGTAACATAAATCAAAGTTTGAAATATATTATTTGAAAAACTCTCAAATGAGGAATGGATTATTAAGATAAAAGCACCACTTGCTAAGCATTTTGGATTAATAATCTGCATATAAAATGTGCACTAAATCACTTTCGTATAATAAATTAAATCAGTTAAAATTCTATATTAAATTAATATTATTATGCGTGGAAGAACGGCAGCGGTTGACTTTTGAAATTTCGCATTTTTAATTATTTTTATTGGAGTATTTAGAAGATTAAGAAAATTGACTTTCAATAAAGCAGTCCAACCGAAACTACCGGAATCGAATCCGTCCTTGTTTCTTTGTTCCGTAGCGGTTTGTCTGCCGCTTCCCCATTTTTTTAAAACATGTCTCCCATTTTCCCTATAAAACCCTTTCCTGCCCTTTGCCACTTCCTCCATCAGGTAAATCCCTCTCTCTCACTCTCTCACCTCCATTTTCTCCCATTTGCAGTATCTCAATCTCTGGGTTGTTTCTGTGTCTCTGGTAGAGCGAAAAGGAAAGTGCAGTGGCGATGAGTTCTAGAGGGAGGACGACAGAGATTGGGGTCGTTTCAAGGAAGTGGAAAGAGACGAGTGAAATAATCCCCGAGAGAAACAAAGTCTGGATTGAACCCTCCATCATTCAAAGAAAAGTTGCTGTTGTTTACTACTTGTCTAGAAATGGCCACCTTCAACACCCTCATTTCATGGAAGTTCCTCTCTCTTCTAATACTGGACTTCACCTCAGAGGTGACAAACCTATCTGTTTCGTTTCCAAGAAAATCTTTAAATTTTCTATCCAATTGCCTGTTGCCAAATGTATATAGTACGCTAACTTTCACTTTTCTCGTAATGAAAGCTTTAAGTTTAAATTTCAAAAGCTTTCCTTTTTTTTATTGTTTCTGTTCGGATGCTGGGAAAATTACAAGGATTTACATTTTCGTACATTTTTCGCATTTTCACTGCAATGCAATTTGACTCTATATTGCTTTTTTTCTTCTTCTTCAGATGTAATCAACCGCCTAAACCTCCTTCGAGGCAAAGGCATGGCTAATCAATACTCTTGGTCCTCCAAACGGTAACACTCTCATTTATCCCCAAACGTCCGATGATCGGATTATCTTTACTCTTCACCGTCCGATTTTAATGTTTCATTTTTTTCCCAACTCAGGAGTTACAAAAACGGCTTCGTTTGGCATGACTTAGCAGAAAACGATTTTATTTACCCATCTCACGGCCAAGAATACGTTCTCAAAGGAACGGAGATTCTCGACCACTCGATTAGCCCTCAATCCCTCGACGTTATGTCGCCTGAAAAGTCAGACAAAGATCATGATTTTCAGTCCATCGGACGGCGGAGGGATCCGCCTCGGAGTTCTACTGACCTGTGTGAGTACAAAGTTTACACGGCTGAATCAAGTTCTGACTCGTCTGGGAGACTCGCTGCGGACGCGTTGACTCAGACCGACGATAAGAGGAGGAGAAAGCCGGTGGTCAAAGAACCGAAAATCGAAAAGTTGCAAAGCCCAAGTCAAGAGTTCGAGCTGAGTAGGGAAGACATTTCGCCTCCACCGTTGGATTCGAGCTCGGAGACATTGGAAACCCTGATGAAAGCCGACGCGCGGAGGATTTTGAGCAACGCTGATGGTAACAAAGAAGACAACTTGAACCGTAGCGGGAGAATGAGAGCGTCGGCTGTTTTGATGCAGTTAATATCGTGCGGCTCTGTTTCAATCAAGGAATGTGTGGCCAAGTCGGAGAGAGATCAAGGGTTCTCATTGATCAGACATTACAAATCGAGGTTGCCACCCGGAGCAGGAAATTGTAGCCATGAACGTAAAGAGTATTTTAGTGGGAGCTTGGTTGAGACCAAGAAAGAAGAAGCTCCTGATCTGAGCAAGTCTTCGTCTTGCAATGCTGAAAGGTGACTCGCTAAACTTAATTGTTTCAAGGTCTAATTATAGTTTTAATCCTTCTGCTCAAGAAATACTAGTAATAATAATATCAAAGAGTTATAATATATAGGAGTATGAATGAATAAAACCTTTCGGTGAATTGTTGGTTAACTATTTATTTATTAAGTTAAATAAATGAACGAATATAGAGGTTTATTTGATTTACTTATGTTCACAAATAAACTCGTTCATAGGCTCATTTATTGACTCGATTATAAACTCGTTTATTTGATTCTTTTGTTTTTTTTTTACATTTTAAATATTGGATAAGATAGGGACTAAATTAAATATATCATGAACTTCGGAATTCAACAATGATACCTAAAGAAATTAAGGATTAGTGGTAGAATTTCATATTTTTTTTAATTTACAAATAAAAGAGTAAAAAGAGAGTGTTAGTTTGTGAATATTAAATTAATATGTTTATAAACATTAAATAAATATATTTATGAATATTAAACAAATGTTAAACAAATATGATCACATATACTAAATAAATGAATGAATATAAATATCTTCATAAATAAATAAATATAAATATTTTTAAAAATAAATAATCGATCAAATAAAAATAAACATATATACATAAAATCATTGAGTATAAGATGTGTACATGGTTTTGCCAGGACAGCAAAAGATATAATGATTTGAGGGTTTTGGTCAAAGATATAATCAATTGTATATGTACTGGAGTATACGTGTGTGTCTGCAATTTCTAGTCTTTTCTTTTCTTGTATCCTACCAAACGTAAGTGGTCCAATGTAATGAATGAAATGTACTCCATACTTACCCAATAAATGACTGCTGGAGGGACCAAAGAAAGAAAGAAAAAAGACAAATGCTGTTATGGTTTAAGCTGGGATTTGCTTTTGTAGCTTTTATCCTTTGGATTGATTTTGGGAACGTTTTTGTTGGGTTTTTTTTTCTCATCAGGAGCTCGCAGTTGCAGTTGCAGTTGCAGTGGCAGTTGGCAGAAAAGGAGATCGATGGAACGCCGGGAACGAACTAAAAAGGGGGGAACGTGAATGCAAACAGCTGCTTTGAAAGTGGAAGCAAAAGGCATGATTTTCAAGAGATTTTTGGAGCCTGGCTATGCCAATTGTAGTAATATGTAGTTTAGTACCAAAACAGATAGGGGCAAGTGTTGTAGGCGATCTATATTACGATTAGAGGAAACACTAGGAATGGAATCTTGTAATGTTCCAAGTGTGTAAAAATTTGTCGATTTCACCTTGTGCTTCTAGCTAGCAACTCGATTCATGGGGAATCTTTAAGGAAAGTCGGATTAATATAAGGTTAAGAAATGGCGTGATCGCAAATTTAATAAGATAATTAATAAATTCGGTAAAGTGTTACCAGAAATATTGATAGACTCATAATGTTGTAGGTAGAAAACATGAAGAACTATTAAAAAAATATAGTAACCGGTAAACTTTGATTATCCATAGGTATCGATACATATATATAAGTATTTATACTTTACTGTGGAAAACATTAATTTAAGGTTACATTTTGAGTGAGTTTTAAGGTATTAATTTAGTAATTATAAGTGTGTAATGATTTATTTTTATGTTACAATATATATTATTATTAAATTCAAAATAATAAACATAGATATTACATATTTATTACTATCTTTAGTTAACATTGTTAAATTTAAATTCTAAATAATATTTTATAAAAAATCTAATAATTATATAATTTTTTGTGTAAATGAAATTATTAAATTAATGTTGTAGGTAGAAAACATGAATAACTATTAAAAAAATTGAAACATAAATTGCATAGTTTTTGTATTAATATTTACTCTAAAAGTATGAATATTGTTTCGACAATAAACTATGTCTAACTATTGTCTTGAAAAAGTATGCATACCTATATTTTATGTATCGATACTTATATTTAAAACTTAACTGGTTAAAATAAAATAGACGCTACCTATTATGTTAAACTACCTAGCGGTTTGTTTGAAGGTTAAAATAAAATAGGCGCTATCTATTAAGTTAAAATATCTATCGGTTTGTTTAAAGGTTACTAATAATGTAAACGATAAAATAAAATAGGCACTACCTATTACGTTAAACTGCATATTGGTTTGCTTAAATGTTACTAATAATGTAAACAGTAAAATAAAATAGGCGTTACCTATTACATTAAACTAACTACCGGTTTGTTTAAATGTTAATAATAATGTAAATGGTAAAATAAAATAGGCGCTACCTATTACGTTAAATTAGCGCTACATATTACATTAAATTAACACTACCTATTACGCTAACTAGCTACTGGTTTGTTTAAAGGTTAATAAAAATGTAAAAGGCTAATAATGTACACGATAATATATTGATAATATTGAAAACAACAATTAACATATTTTGTTAACGTCGGATTTCTAATGCCACATCAGCTTTAAACATGCGCTAACTATTACATTAAATAAACGCTACTTGTTATGTTATTATAGTTGATAATGTTTCTGGTAATTAACCTATTTTGTTATCGGCAGATTTCTAAAGTTCCATCAGCTTAAACTTTGGTAACATTTTAGGTGCTACCTAATATATTGATAATATTGATAACAAATCATGTAATTAACCTATTTTTGTTATCGTCGGATTTCTAAGACCCCATCAGCTTTAAACAAGCGCTACATATTAAATTAAATAAGCGTTACTTGTTATCTTATTATGGTTGATAATGTTTCCAGTAATTAACATACACTACAACAAAACAGAATTTTAGCGGCGTTTTTTTAGTCCTATAGAGGTGGTTTTAAGCGACGCTAAAAGCACTCGCGGCGATAGAAAAAACGCCGCAAGAAGCGCCATACCAGCGCTGTTAAAGTTAGCGGCGTTTGAGAATAAAAAATGTCGCAATAGGTAGAGATCTATAGCGGCGTTTTTAGAACAAAATGTCAGATCTATAGCGGCGTTTTTTGGATACAAACGCCACTAATTACCTTTCATTAGTTAATATTAATTGATTTTGCATATTTCATTTCTGCTCTACATTACCTAAATTTAATATCATGTAGCTTTATCTAATTAACAACAACCATAAATTTTAATTAAGACACAAACTTGAAATCCATAACAAGAAACTTGAAATTCATAATAATAAATCAAAGTTTACATTAACGTAAAATATAATGTAGTTCAACATTGTTAACTAGAATAAACAATAATAACACCTAAGATGGGAAAGAATAATTTGTAGTCTATACTACATCATGGTGAATAAGTAAGAACAATTTGTAGGCAAACCACACAAACAGACCATTTACAACCTGTACTAGTAGTGAACTAGTGATAAAACTCAAAGTTCTCGTCGTACAGAAAAGGGGAAATAAGAAATGTGTTACATTTGGAGGTAGCCCACTGCTTTACAACTCAAGCTTAATCTTCAAGTCATGGTCTATCAACCCCGCCATGTCCTAGAACAGGAAGTTTGACAGAAGTTAGCTGAATCAAATTGTATAATTTACATAGTTAGTCGAAAGCCTAAAATTATCGGTCACAGAAAACCTAGGGACATTAAATAAACCATTCAAGTAGACAAATATGAGCACTTTGAAAAAAAAATGTTTAAAAGAAAGGAGAGCATAATTCATGGAACTGTTATGAACCTAGAAAAGGGTTGTACTTGTTCCTAATTAAGATAAACAACATATTCAAAGGTTTGCTACATTTGTTAATGGTGAATTTTCCACAATAAGATAAAAGAAATCTTACAATTTCCTTATTTTAATATAATATCAAATGAAAATTATGAAATACAAGTTACTTGCCAAAATTAACTATAGTTAACTATGATTATGAAAGATTAGGAAGAAAATAAAAAAGTCAACGCTCATCACTTAAGCATCGATTTCCATCTAGATCTTGCTGAACCATTTTGTTATTGATGCATATATGTTTATTAATAAGAGAGATGGACAGAATGTATACATATTCTCTTCTGCTTTGAAATGCATATTTCTTTATTTTAATGAACCATTACACTATAAAATACCTGAACAGTGGCTTTCAATCCAAAAGCTTTAAGTGTGATAATTAACTATGTTAGGATTCCCTGCCCACTTCCATAATAATTTTCTTTTCATCAGTGACATAGACTTTCATTCCTGGCATATGATAAAATCAACAATGAGTATAACTCTAACGAATTTGTGCTGGAATTACGCAGGGGGTGGTGGTGGTTGAAACAAACGAATAAAACACAATGCGTGCAAATAAGCTATAAACTCATAACCACCACATGCTTGCAAGTATGTTAAATTAAATGTTCTCAAATGGGCTACTTTCCAATACTCTTCTTGAATAATTGCACAATATAATTATATGCCTCAAGGCCATATTTTCTAACTCATTTGCTAATCTAAAGCATAACTAAGACATCTAGCATGCACTCTTTTCGGTACAATCAAGTTTCACAGTAATAAAAAAAATTTTTTTAGAATTACAATGCCTTGTATCAGGAATGCGGTGGTACTCGGATTCTTCTTGGAATGCAAAAAATAATTTAGATCAATCAATGATACAATGTGAACACATTTCATATTTCATGAGCACCTGTGATTATGTGTGTAGAATGTATTTGAGAAAGAGAAGTCAACCTTGGAATGTCGGTGGTAGGGTTCCTAAAGTAAGCGTTTCAAATTCAACTGACTGAATTTTGTATTTTGGAATCTGCTCGGCAATGATAGGCTTTACTATATTCTTGGCAGTTGTACAAATTGCCTTGAAAAATGAGTATTAAGGTGTTCAATAAAACATGACCAAACAAATATATAAGGTCTTCTCGAGAAATTTGTTAAAGCCAATCAACCTTGAGAGATACAGGCAGTTATTACCTTGGTGCATAACTTAGGACCAGACATACAAAAATAACATAGCATAGAAGAACATACACGGTCGAAATCTGAATTCTTGACCCACAAGGGGATCTCTGGAAGCATACGCTGCAAAGTTTTCAAGTCTTCCTCAACTAAAGGACAGATTTTAGAATCCTGAACACAAGGAATGTTAATAAGGAAAAGAAATAACATGACCAACTTATCAATGTTTCAAAGGTTGAATTAAGACAATGGAGACAATTCGTGTTGTTCAGCCATGTACAGACATCAAAATAACCCAAATTGTTTGGTAAATGCCTCTACTACAATAAGCAAAATCCCATAAAAACAGGGGTGGGACAGGAGCAACAAGAACATAAATAACTCTGGTGAATGTTAGAAACGTTTCTTAATCCTAAAACTTAAAACTTTCTTAGAAAAATATAAGCTATCAATTTGATCACTTCAAAACCGTGGATATACATCTTTCAAAGCGACAACACTACAAAATACAAATCTTAGCACACGAAAACTCGAATTGTATTTAGAAGACAGATTGAGTTAACCATAAATACGAGTAAAAATGAAATATTTGATCAGCTTAGAGTAAAGTTATCATTTTTTTATAATACATATTCATTCTTTAAACTAATAAATATGCTTGCGAAAGTAATCAAAAGAAAAAAAAAGAAGCAAAACTTAAGGAAAATTCAACAGAGATAGAAAAAAAAACCTCAACGTCAATGGGAAGAAAGTAGATGAACATGTAATACCCAATGACGATCCGAACAGAAGTTCCAATTCCAAATCCAAAAACACCCAATATAGAGCTCAATACACTCATCCTTCTACTGGGAAGATATTTCAGGAAGTTAAATCAAAGATGCATAAAAAATATTTTTTTCTGTTCAGTTCAAGGAGAAGAAAAAAACCCAGATTGAATAAGATTATTGTCTGAAGCAAAATCGAAAAAATAAATGCAAAGAGATTTTAAAGTTCTAAAAATAACGAACCGAAACCAAATAAAGAATCGAAAATCATTATCAATCAAAGCCACAAACATTCGTCTACGATCTGCTCCTCCATTTTTCATTGCATTCCTCGGCAACTAGCATTATTAATTATAATTAACTAAAAGTATCATTTGTTTTGTGTTGCTTAAAGTTAGCTCGGTGAAGAAGCAGCAAATTCAGCAAAGAGAAAGTGAGATCGGCGAAGAAGCAGCATATGGGTTTGGGTAAACGACGGGAATGAAAAAAATAGGTGAAGGAGAAAAAATGAGTAAGGGTTAAAGGGGCGGGACTTAGAAAATGTAAACTTGCGGCGTTTGTAAATAAAAACGTCATTAATGGATGAGTATTTAGCGGCGTTTATAAAAAACCACTAAATTACTAGGTTTTAGCGGCGTTTGTCAAATAAATGCCACTAAAGTATGAGTTTTAGCAGTGTTTGTTGAAAAACACCGTTAATGTTACCATTTAGTGGAGTTTTGGATATAAACACCGCAATATGTACAAATTTGGTGGCGTTTGCTTTGAAAACGCCGCTATATACATGTTTTGTTGTAGTGCTATTTTGTTTTCATCATATTTCTAAAGCTCTATCAGCTTAAACTTTAATAACATTTTAGGCGCTACATAATATGTTGATAATATTGATAACGAATCAAGTAATTAATCTATTTTGTTATCGTCGGATTTCTAAGGTCCCATCAGGTTTAAAAAAGTGCTACATATTACGTTACATAAGTGTTACATGTTATGTTATTATGGTTAATAATGTTTCCAGTAATTAACCGGTTATGTTAAAGACAATATTTTTTTGGCGCATTTTACATACGATGATAATATTTCTGGTTATTACCATTATTATTACCAACAGAAATAACATTTCCGGTAGTGTTTTTAACCGGTCACCTATTTAACCAATCATGTCATTTTTTAGCCGTATATTAGTCCACCTCACAGTAGAACCTCCCTGATTCCTGTGGGACCACGACTTTGCAATTTGTTACAACCGATGGTTTTGAGAAATACCTCAAGCGGGTTTGAGAAATACCTCAAGCTGGTAAAGGATGGATCAATGGGACCAAGGTCGGTTGTATTGGTTTTTTTGCCCCAATACCTCAAACGGGTTACTAAATTAGGGTATTAGGGGTAATAGGTCGGTCCAATTTTTATTTTGAGAAATATGAAAAATGCTACAGTAGACATAGAACTAGTCACCTCTAGGTGACGAGTTCCCTAGGATATTATTTTTAAATGGTCCTCGAGTAATGGACCCCATGTGAGCCATTATTTTATTGTCATTAATATAACTCGTCACCTTAAGATGACAAGTCTATTAAAAAAATATTTTTTTAATTACAATATAAAAATTATAATATTTAAATTAAAAAAATAGTGGAACTTGTCACCTAATTCAAAAAAATACTAGTTGTTTGCTAGTCGTTGGTCAACGGGCAGATGGGCAATAGCCACTTTGAAACTCCTCCCCTCGAGGTGATGAGTTCGGCCAGATAAAATTTAAAAAAAATATTTATATTTTAAAAAATAAAAAGTAAATAAATAATTACAAAAAATAAATTGTTTACAGAAAAATTATAAAGAAAATTTATCTATATTTTCTAAGTTCTTTACGATGCTGAGAAGTTGTTGAATGATAATAGCGCGGGGCTCATCAAGTACGTCAGTTTCGTTGGCCTTGATCGTCGTCATCGTCGTCGTCTTTATCTTGTCAATGAGGTGTACTTAACACACTTTGAGATCCACCTTCAAAATACAGTGATGAGCTTATGGTATTTGACGCCATCATTGTCGTAACTGATTCGACTTAGTTGGTACTTTGTTGACCATATAGGATATGATCACTCTCACCCGCAACTGCATTTGTTGAAGATGTTTAAGTGTATATGGTGCGTCCCATTAACCTTCAACCCAAGTTGGTCAAGTCTCGGTTGAAGTATGATATGGAGGACAGAAACCGAAACTAGCCTGAAATGCATAATAGTAATTTTCAGCTACAGATGTTGAAGTGGAAGAATAAGAAGACGATGATTTCTTTTTGGACTTGGCGCATGTGGCCTTAGGGATGGCAACGGGCCGGGTTCGGGCGGGTATTGGTCCCTTCGTCCCCGTCCCCGTTTAAAAAACTGGTACCCGTCCCCGTTTAAAAAACCGCGGGGATTTAAACGGGGATCCCCGTCGGGTAATCGGGAAAACCGCAGAGAAACGGGTATCCCGTTTAGCATAAACGGTTATTTAAACGGGTATTGGGCCGGGTATTGGGTCGGGTATTGGGTCGGGAATCGGGCCGGGTATATATATATATATATATATATATATATAAATTAAATATATATTTTTTATTTAAATTAAATATATATTTTTTATTTAAATTAAATTTATTAATATTATATATATATAAATAATTATTTTTAATATTTATCGGGTCGGGTATCGGGGCGGGTAATCGAGGCGGGTAATCGGGGCGGGGATTACCAAACCCGTCCCCGTCCCCGTCCCCGTTTAAAATAAATGGGTTTTCCCCGTCCCCGTTTATCATCCCCGAACCCGACCCGTTTAATTCAGTTTTCGGTTTTCCCCGTCGGGTTCGGGTTTTTTTGCCATCCCTATGTGGCCTGATGATGTTCTCATTCTCTCCTCTCTTGCGGTGTCATGAGATGTGGTTTCTCATTTGCTTCGTAATTTCAAAGATAGGGAGAATAATTGAAATCTAGGTCCAGCGGTGAAATGTCGTGACGCTGGGGGATCGATAGTTGACGTTGATTCCATAGATCAATGTAGTAAGTGTGCTTCACGTCCAATTTTCGTTATATTTCCCACGCATATCAATTCTATATAGCACATCCATTTCAACAATTTGCGTAGGAATCGACTGATGCAAAATAAACAGTCACATTACTCTATCAGCGGCGTGCAACTCAACAATCGCAAAATGTAATAACGACATCACGTCACACCATAACTCGGACCCCTCAAAATAATGTGGTGGCAATAGTTGGTTGATCTCATCATTAACATACGAAAGCCAAGAAAACTGTAAATATTAAATATCAAAGTTAGTATATGTAAAGATAAAAAAAATTAGAAATTAATAATAAAAGAACAAATGCATATCGCATTTCGGCCAACGATGTCGATCTTCATCCGTATATCCTGTGCAGTGGCACCCGCCAACTTTGTCTTGGCTATTTTATGACGCCATTTTAAATATTTAAAAATAAAAAAAATATTATAAACAAATAAAAACTAATTAAATTAATCAAATTAAAAATAGTTAAATAAATGAAGTTAAAAAATTACGTTGCAGCTAGAGGAAACTCGACCGGGGTTGGTGCAATTGCCGTCAAAAATGGGAATCGGTACCAAGCCCTGGACTGTAGCAGTATTAGACAACCTGCTACATCGACTTTTCGACATGATTGGACAATTGCAACATTGCAAAGCTTCCGATACAAAAAGGCTAAAACCATCGAGCCCCAATTGTTATTACGGCACACAACAAAGTCTTCCAAAAATTGTAGATATTGAGTGTATGCCAAATTACCATATTTATCCGATAATAATACCCCTCCGATCAGTTGGAGAATATGCTCGGGACGCAAAAATAACCTGGTCCTCTGTAGAGTCAGCCGTCACTTGGAATTCAGACTCAAATCACGTAATTTGTACCCGATAGCCCTCTATATTGTCGGATGGTGACATCTTTCTCAAAACTTGGTAGTCCAACGTCGCGGGGTCATAAATATTCTGCCTCACCATGGGGGTTCCATTCAGAGGAACACTGAATTGATAAATGACGTCTTCCAAAGTAATCGTCGCTTCACCACTAAGGAAATGGAACATGTGCGTCTCAAGCTGTCGATGTTCGATCAGAGCCTCAATCAACGCCAGGTACATCTTGAATCCACGTACATATATGGTTGGAAATAGACTGGATTGCTGCAGACATATCAGCATCCGCTGATGTAACTCTTCGTATGTCATCACGCGCTTACGAATATTTCATTCTTCTTCTGGCCGGAGTTGGATCGATGAAATATGGACGTCATCCAGACGCAATATTTCTTCTCGGGTAGCTATTTTTTGTGATTTTCATAAAACATAAGATTTTTTCGCAATTTTTTTTCGGATTTGCTGTTTGGTGAAAAACCAAAACTCCAAACCCCTATTTATAGCCTTACCCTTAACGGCTATAAACGACTAGTATTTTCAAAATTTCGGCCGAGGTGACGAGTTTCAACTGATTGTTGCCCAGTTGACTGTTGCATCTTCCCGTTAACCAACGGCTACAAAATGGCTAGTTTTTTAAAATTTGAAGGAACTCGTAATGAGTTCCACTAATGTTTTTAATTTAAATATTGTAATTTTATATTGTAATTTTAAAAAAATATTTTTTATTAATGACAATAAAATAATGATACACGTAGAGCCCACTACCATTTAAAAATAATATCCTATAGAACTAGTCACCCATGTCCACTATAGCATTTGCTATATTGAACCCATATCATCAAGCTTCTTGGTCCAAGCATATGCTTCACAGTTAAGCCCAAATCCTTCAAAACTTAACCATGGCTGGCCTTTGTCTCTTCATCGCAAAACGATTGTGACCCATATTCCTATTGTTAAACACTATTTAACTCCCTCTCTCTCTATATATATTCCTTAAAATAGCTTTCTATTATATAAATGAATATTAACCCTATATATATATATTATAATTGAATATTTGAATTGATAAAAATGTAGGATTGAGATTAAATATGATATTAAAAGACTTTTACGAAGTCTGACAAAATATTATAATTGAACTGGATAATAAGTGTTAAAGCTGCTCAGCCGAGGGCAATCAATGGATAAAATCTCGTCGTTGTTACCTCACCTCATGCGACTGATACGACAGAACTGGAATTTGGTTTACATATATGCACCGCGAGAACGAAATAGGGTGGCGGATGGACTAGCGAAGATGGCGTGGCCTCTACCTTTTGGCTTACGCTCTTTTGCAACTCCACCGCGGGAGATTCAGACTTGGTTTTTGGCCGACTGCAATACTATGCAGCAGTAAGTAATGTTTTAGACTATAGATTTAGCTCTACCTTTTAGTATTCAAAAAAAGACTTAATGATTTATTTTTAATTTAAAAAATTTAATTTCAATACTGAGTCATCTTACTATTAAAAGTTACAAATGGGTCCCCCGACTATAAGACATTGTTTTTTAAATCCATAGACTATTAAAAGTTACAAAATGATCACTCGACTATTTATTATGTTCTAAACTCGTCCTTTTCCGTTAAAAATGATGGAAATTTAAGTTGAACGTTAACTTAGTGACTGAGACATGATATAAAATGATCTTAGAATCTCAAACGACTATCTTATCTCAATCAGTAGGTTAACGTCCAGCTTAAACTACTATCAATTTTTAACGAAAAATGATAAGTTTAGAACACAATGAATAGTCGGGTGGTCATTTTGTAACTTTTAATAGTCAAGGGACTTAAAAACAACGTCTTATAGTCGGGGGACCCTTTAATAGTCAAGGGACTTAAAAACAACGTCTTATAGTCGGGGGACCCTTTAATAGTCAAAGGACTCAATAAAGTAATATTCTATAGTCGATGGATCATTTGTATACTTTACCCTATTTTTATAATGTATCATGCATGATATATATTACTTGTATTAATTTTTACTATAATATTTTTCATACCTCTCAACCAAGTTTATTTTATTCGTAAATATTATGATTTGATCCCTTAATCTTGATTTAGTTGATATTCTTGTTATTACAATATTATAGAAATCATAAGTTTAAATACGTTTTAACATAACTACTTTCAATTTAAGGACTGGTAAATTATAAGTATATAATTTAGATATTATAATTTATACTTTCAGAAAATACTTAATAATGTTCAAAATTTCTCCATCCTCCTATATTAATTTCAATTCTAAAATAATGATAATTTAAACTTTTTCTCTTTCATTTAATCACAAACTAGTTAAGTTTTACTTTCAATTAATTTACATTAATAAATGGAAGGGTTTAATTTTTTAATATGATATTAATAGTTAATTAATTTAAACCGAGTATTGTAAAATTATAATGTATTATGAGAGCTGGAATTCAAATAAATATGTTTTATTGAGATGAAATTTAAAGAAATTATATTTTTTTTATTAATTTGAGATAATTGCGAGATAATATTTTAAATATAACTCTTAATCATTTGACATTAAATGTTCACACCCTGATATTCATGTTACTCGAACCTGGAACCTCAAGAAATAATAACAATTCGTTTACCATTTTTACAATAATGCAGTAAAAAAATTTGTTCAAATAGTACACCCGAGAAATTATTTGTTCAAATGAGATAAATGCTACAGTACACATCGGAGTCGCATTGGGCTCCCTGCATCTCCCAAACTCTCCCCTCCCCAGTCCACCATACGTCCTTGACCAACAATAAATTCAGAAATTTATTTCCTACAACAACATGCTTTTTACTTTGATGCATTATTGCAAAAAATTAGCTAATATTATATATATATATATATATATATATATATATATGTATATATATAAAAGTAAAAAGCCTATATTATTGCAAAAACAACATGGGGGAAAGACACACGGTGGTCCGGGGAGGGGGAGTCGCATGGTGTTCCATGCGACCTTGGGGACGTGGGGAATGTGTATTGTAGCATTTATTCCATTCGAGCAAATAATCTTTCGAGTGCATTATTCGAACAATTTTTTTTCAACTGCATTATTGCAAAAAATCAATTGAGATCGCTTGGTTTGTGCACTTTAAAGAAATTGTATTAAACATAATAAGTGTGTTGTATAATAATTTTAAGGGTAAACTACACATTTAGTACCTAAAGTATCAGTTTTGGTATGTTTTAGTACCTAAACTTTTAAATTTTTTTAAATCATATCTAATATTTAGTTTTTATTTCATTTTAGTACCCTACTGTTAAAAACTTAATACATTTAGTATCTAAACTATCAATTTTAGTCTATTTTAATACCTAAACTTACAATTTTTTCAAATTTAATGTTAAATTTTGAACATATGTATTAAAATGAAAAAAAAACTAAATTTTAGATACTAAATCCGTAATTTACCCTAATTTTAATGTGTGTTAGCAACCAAATCACACCAAAACTACCTTGAATTTCTGACCACCAAACTGAACCATATGACATTTCAGTCATTCTGCCTTCTACAACATTCAATCATTCATCATCCTTATAATATATAAAGATAATATTTATGCATATAGAAAGATAATATTTTTCCCTGGTTTTCAAGGGCACCCCTCCAAAAGCTTAACACAAAAACCTCTATTTTCGTGTTTTAGTATTTTGAGTAATTTTGATGTTGAACATCATCCTCAATAGAAGGTTTTGGTTTTTTTAATATCTTTTAATATTTTTATTTTATGTATGGAAGGAGAGGAAATAATAATTTGTATATACCAAACTCCAATGCCCATATGTATTGTTTCGGTTGCCACAAAGCTAGTACTGCCAAAGCTCTTCACTTGCCTGTAGATTCTTCTTCAGGTAAAACATGAACAAACTGTATACCATCTTTCACTTTCATTTTTGCCCTTCCAATTTCATCAAAGCTTCGCCTTTTCTTTTTTCATGCTTTCGACACCACTGACACGAAAGCTACTATTTTCCTTTCAGATGTAGTTATTGCATGTTACTTGTCACTAACTCACTATCCCTTTCATGATCCTTTTTCCTTTTTTTATCTCTTTGTGAAGCGGTGATCAATTTCATGGTTCAATGATCGATGGGTTTTGGTGTTTTTGATGAATTCTAGTACAGTTATCGCAATCCTTGTTCTGTTGGAGCTATTGGGTTTTGTTGTTGTATTCAATTGGGGCTGATGGGTCCTGCAAGAGGGTTAAAGAAAAGAAGGAAGATAGAGAAGAAAACCGAAGAGAATGCTTCTGCTTCTTCTGAGAAGGAAAGGTCTATTGATTGGTGGGATGAGCTTTCCAGGAAGATGAATGGTATGTTTTGTTTTAGCAGTTTCCCTGTGTCTTCCAATTCCTCTGACTTCTTCACTTTTCTTTCAGTTTTGAATTCAGTTTTTGCAAATTTTGACTTGTTTTACGATTCACATCATAGTGAAGTTATATATTTGTGTTTCCAGTTCAATGGGTTGAGTTCTGTTTTGGAGCTTTTAACTGGTTTCGTGATTTACAGCATATCTGGGTATTGAGTAATATATGTGGCTGAATTTCTCAAATAATGCAGCTGAAAAAAAAAATTGTTTCACGAAATAATTTCGAGAGTGCCTTATTCGAACAAATTTTTTTCCAGCTGCATTATTTGAGAAATTCAGTCAATATATGTTGATACCTTGAAGATGCATTTTCGAATATGGAAACAGGATCCCTAATCTGGCTTCCAAGTTGTCCTTTTCACCTAACACTTGTTTATGTACTCTTTGTTGTTCAATGGGAAAGAGGATAAGATAATCTTGTGTTTTTTTTAATGTTATGATATATAGAATACTTAAGGTTATATGTTTCGGCAATGCTGTTGCTTATCGATACTCTGTTTTCGAGGAAACTCAGCTGTAACTCTGTTTGAATATGACAATCTTTTGAATCCCATTGCGTCTAAGTTGTTTGCAAATAGCTAATGCAGTTGAAAAAATGGTTCTCAACTAATCACTAATGCAGTTGTTTTCAAGAATTTTAGCATAAAACTACCGAGGACTAGGCTAGTGAAAATAAAAGGGGATGGTTGTCGACTTATCGTAAATCATCTTTCTGCATTTAATTTTAGATAACTTGAGTATGCATTTCTAAGTGGCTATTGTTGTCCGGTAGATCTCTCAGACTATTGTTTTTGTTCTGCCGCATTAACGTACAAGTAGGGCTTCTTGAAATATCAGCAGAAGGCACTAAGAGTAAATACCTCCATTGCGAGCACAAGATTTGGGCATACTTACTCCCGTATGAACATATATATCATGTTGAATTAGTTTAAGTAAAATGTTGTTGTTGAATCCACGAGAAATTCGTTTTAAGTAGGAAGATTTGTTGTCTCGTAACTATTAGATTATGTCATAAATTAAACCGGGGAAAGCACTGTTGTTTCTTGATATAGTTACTTTCTTCTTCCTTGCATATGTTTCCTTTGTTTTCTCCGCTGGTTTCTTAACTGCTGACTTCTATCAGCTGGTTTATATTGATCTAGTTGCTCTATGCATTGCGATTCTTGTCGTATTATATTGAAATTTAATCAGGCCATGCTAACGTTAGATTATTAGAATATATTAAAGAAAGTTAAATGGCCGATAATCTTATGCTTCAGCCATAACCTATCTAAAGAGATTGTTTATAGAATTCGACACATTACAGGAACAAGACAGAGAAATTACATTATGTCCAATGTCCTTTTCCCAATGATCATTCTTTTATTGGATCCATCGGAATAAAATGTCGAGGAGTAGTCTGTGTTTGGTAACTTGCCTTCCTTTTTCTCTCTTGATAAAATGTGAATCATCTTATCTAGATAACTTTCAGGTTAGTACCGGCAGCCGAAAACCATCCATATTTCGAGCAAGAACTCTATGCTGAAAATACATCAATGTGGCCATTTTCAGTCGTCTCTTGATTTTTACCAACCCTAAGGGCTTATTATACACAGTTCAGATTCAACTGAGGCTGTCATGTTTTACCTTTATGTACACTGTTTTCATATTTAAAGTACCGAAACATGCATGTTTTGTCCTACATAGCACATTAATTTATGCATGTGTGTATGTAGACATATCACATATGTATTTGGTCCAATAAAAAGGAACCAAAAAGTTATAGTTTGATTGATACACTAATTGTTAGTTAAAACAATGTTTAGATTGATGAATGAAATCCCGCAGATCATCGACACCAACTCTACATGTTTCGTATGAGTAAATATTGTTTTCGTCTTATTGGATCTTTTTCTTTGTAGGTGTTCAATCACAGACGAAAGGTCTGGATAAGTTCAAATCTGTTTTCAAAATTTCCAGAAAAACCTTCAACTACATATGTTCACTTGAGAAGGAAGATATGATGGTTAAGCCGGGAAGTTTTACATTTTCAGATGGTAAACCTGTTTCTTTCGAAAATCAAGTAGCTTGGCTTTGAGAAGGCTAAGCTCCGGTGAATCACTTGTGATAGTAGGTGATTTATTCGGGCTGCACCACTCAACCATCTCACAGTTGACCTGTTGCTTGTGGAGGCCATGGAAGAAAGGGGCCTTCACCACCTGCAGTGGCCTTCCACCGAAATTCAGATGACAGGAATAAAGTCTAAATTTGAAAAGATTCAAGGCCTTCCCAATTGCTGTGGTGTGATCGACACTACTCATGTAATGATGTGTTTGCCTTCACCAGACTGCAAGTAATGGTTCGACCACAAGAAGAATCACAGCATGGTCTTGCAGGCTGTTGTGGCCTGTAATGAGGTTCAGGGACATAGTCACTGGCTGGCCAGGTAAAATCGAAGACTGGTAGGTGTTTCAGAGTTCTAATTTCTATAATCTTTGTAATAAAGGGAAGAGATTGAACGGGGTAAAAATCATGCTCCCTGAAGGATCCGAAATAAGGGAATACATATTTGGAGATGTAGGCTATCCTCTACTACCCTATCTAATTATACCTTGGGAGGGGAAAGAACTTCCCGAATTACGAGCCGATTACGAGCCGAGTTTAACAAAAGGCATTCAGCATCCCAGCTGGTGGCGCACAGAGCATTAGCGAGGCTCAAGGAAATGTGGAAGATCGAAGGAGTAATGAGGAGACCCGACAAACATAAGTTGCCTAGGATAATCCTGGTTTGCTGCTTACTTCATAACATCATTATCAACTTGAAAGATGATGTGCAGGATGAGATGCGTCTGTCTCATGACCATGATTCTGGTTACCGGTAACGGAATTGCGGATCCTTCAACGTCAAGGGTGTTCACCTGAGAGATGAACTCTCTCTCTACTTGTCCGGGAAATCGCCAGAATAATTGTTTCCCATTTCTGATTCTTGATACAAAAAGGTCCGAGTATGATCTTTTGTTAGACAATCATTTTTTGTAAAAGGCTTCTCTTAAACCAGTAATGGAGATAAAAGGCTTGTCATTATCAGCGCATTTTTTGTAAAAGGCTTCTCAAATCTTTGAGTGATTGTAGAGACAGTAATGGGAGAAATTAGGTGGCTTCCATAAATGGAACAATTCTCCTCAATGAAAAAACCAAAAACTACGGATTTTGAGGATATTGTTACCTTTTTCATGAAGAATTATATAATTGAAAAGGGAAACTTTCCGACCTGCCGGATTCGAACCAGCGACCTAAGGATTTACTGTTGAATTTCAACAAACTACAGTCCTCCGCTCTACCAACTGAGCTAAGGTCGGTCTTGAAATATAAACCATCTGACAATCTATATTAATCGAGAAAAGTTTATTGGGCAATCGATCACCACAACACAACTCTCTGCTCATATTCGTAATATAAGAATCCAGCCTTTTCCAGTTGGAAGTTCTCTGAGCAGTAAGAGCTCAATAAGCATTCAATCAATGTGGCGGTGAAATTTCTGAAGAGATTATGGTTCAATGAAACGCCAAACAATGTATAAACCTCAATAATCAAATATAACCGAAATATACTGATGAGTCCATATTATAAGATAAATTTATAAAATTCTAAAGAAAAATTAAAAAAATAAAAACGAAAATAAATTATCGATAAAAATATAAGAAAATTTTTATCATATAAAAATTTAAAATTTTCAAAAATAACGACAATTTATATCAACTCTTTAATTCATCCTTAAATATAACCATCATATCTATCTTTATATCAATTCTTTTTTTATTTCTTCCCACAACCCAAGTTTTCACTACAAAACCCTTCCATGCTTTTCTTTCTTTTTTTATTTAAAATTTGGGTATAGAAATAAAATGGATAACAAATATTGAGATTTCATCACCTAAGTTTCTTATTCTTGCTACATCAGGAGGTAAATACGTTGGATGTCCATGTGTATTTTTTTAACATCAATGTGTATTTCTTTTTTCTATCAGATGAAGAAATGTCAAAATTCGGCGCATAAAGTAAGACAAATATATATCCTTAATCATTCAACTAATTAATAGATTAATTTTAGAATAATGTTTACAAATATTCAAGTTGGATCAATCAATAAATTTAATATTAATGGTAAATAGCAGTAGTTAATTAGATTTATTTTAAAAGATTTTGATCTACATAATGGTAATAAAAAAAAGTTTCAGGAACCATATCATTATAATATACCTTAAAAGATCACATTATAACGTGCAAAATGAGCACAACAAATTGGGATTCCCTATTCAGCAAGCCGATAATATTTTTATTGAAGCATGCGCCTCAAATCCTGGACTTTTAAGAATGTTCAAACTCAAATAACCTGACATGACCACACCATTGTCATTTGATTAATTAATCACTAAAATGGGTTTGGAAATTGGGAATATAGAATCGTCCATATGACAGTTTGATGTGTGGGAAAACGGTAGCATTCATTCATTGTATCAATGTTTAGTTTCTTCCACACTTTTGGTGACATCAAGAAGCTTCCTTAACTAATTATGTGACATTGCATAGTTGATGTAGTTTCAATCTCACATAACCAATTCACCTTTAAGAGTAAATCTCATATAAAATATAAGATCAACTATGTATTTTGCCATTAACGTGTAGTTCTGTTTTGATAATCTAATTATCTTTTTCATAATCATATATGATATTATATTTTAATTATGTTTTAGTTACTCTCGTTAAAAAAACAAAACTATTGACATGCTAATTTTTTATTTTTTCAATAACGATATGACATTATTTACATTATAATTATATGTTAGCAGTTTTGTTTATCTTTGAACAATTAATGATTAAAACGTAATTATTAGTATAATTTTTAGGGGGAAAAATAATTGTGTGACCAATAAAACCACAAGAATAGGAGGTGAATAGATATGTAGTTTATCTTAAAATATCTACACGATGTTTGTATTAATATTTTCAAGTATTGTTTATCTTGAAAATTTACCAGCGAGTTTAGTTGAAGTAATAACAGTTTGATATCGCTTGAGTAAAGTATTATGTTCTATCGCTTGAGTAAATATTATGTTCGAGTCATTATGTATGCAGAAAATTCCCGCTGAAAGACACATCTACTAAAATCAAGTGTGCGACTCAAGTCGATTTAGATTAATAAAGGCGAAGCCTTACAACTTGATGACAACAAAAATAATAATAAAATTTTGGGGACGTGAGGCACACGCAATAAAGTGAGGGTATGGGACGCAAGTAACATAACACTCCCAACACCGCGAAAAGTGTAGGATTTGTGAGGAAGATTCCTGCCGAGTCGCCTCAAACGACTCTTTCTTAACATGCTCAGCTACGCGGTGACGCAAAAGTGCGGAAGGGTGGCGGCTTCAAATTCCCAATTCCACCCCTTCAAATATACAAACAGTACCCAACAGTGTTTTAATTTCTTAACCCCAACTACGGTCAAATCCGTCATTATGACATTCCGTGTTCCCACTCAACAGTCAACACACACTCACCAACTCCAACCTATAAATACCAAACCCTTACTCATCTCCTTCCCAGATATCTACAGCTAAAATCTCAGCAGTGTTTCAAGTGAAGTTGTAATTTTTTTGTATTTCTTTTCATATTTCCAAGTAAAGTTCTTTCACTTTTAAATCAGTTTATAAATAAATTATATTAAGATGAAGAGAGGCAGAGAAGTTGGAGAAATGGATGCCATGGATATGGCGAATTGCTTGATGTTGCTATCGAAGATTGGCCAAACCGACGCGTCGGAGCACTACCAGGGCGGTGGTGGTGGTGTTCGTGTCTTTGCATGCAAGACGTGTAACAAAAGGTTTTCATCTTTTCAAGCACTCGGAGGTCATAGAGCGAGCCATAAGAAGCCGAGGCTAACGGGAGGAGATGCTCCGGTTTCACCACCTAAGAAGCCCAAGACACACGAGTGTTCGATTTGTGGTCTAGAATTCGCCATTGGACAAGCTCTCGGCGGCCACATGAGGAGGCACAGGGCCGCCGGAAACGAAGGGTTGGTGACTCGGGATTTGTTACCGGAGATGGACAAGAGCGGAGACGAAAGTGATTTGGTACTGGATCTGAGCTTGTCGCCTTGGGGAACAGACTTGGAGCTGAAGCTGGGGAAGGTGGAGTCCACTCCTGTCGTTCATTGTTTTATATAGGATTCTTTTTTTCTTGTTTTTGTTGTAAAGAGATATACGATTCATATTATCAAAGCATAGGAAGATATATAGGGTTTGATCTCTTCATTTTTTACTACTTGAAGAATATACTTGTGTTTTTCAGAGATTATTTTAACTCCATTTTTACTATATTATCGATTTTACATATGTATTTTTTTGACTTTGATTTTTACATATCATCCCACCTCTAAATATAAATTTGTCTTACTAGTTCTTAATGTCTCGACAAAATTTTAAAATAATAAAATTTTTCTTTGTGTTATTGCTCATGTACCAAATGTAAGTATTACATAAATAATGGATAAACATACAAGACATCCAACTATGTATTGGTTCTTGTTTTTGGTAGGTGATCAGCTAATTAAACCATAGCTTAAAATGGAAGGCTTGGTTTTCTGTAGAAAATGTATATGTTTATACAATTAAATTGTCATCCGAGTATTTATTTATTAATACTGATATTGTCATCTGAGTATTTATTTATTAATACTGATAGTTGTGAGTAGGCAAAAAATATGCTATAAAATAGATAAAATCATTCATTATCTTATAAGAAAAATAATAATAAAAGTGTAGCAAGGAGAGAGAAAATCATTTTTTGGAGAGATTCAAGTTAATTTGACATTGTTTTTAAACATGTATTTGAAGTTTTTGATTTAGGATTTAATTGTTTAGAATTGTAGTTAAAAAAATTGATTCAGTAACTTCAGAGAGAAGAAACAGGGAACAAGGCCTTAACCCTATTTGTAACAGTTGAATTCAAGCAGTTTCTTGAGGTGAATCTGACCTATTCCAACATCAGAAGAGGCTTCAAAAAGACAGCCTGATGCTGCTACACCTCCAACTCCCGAGACCGCAATCTTCTTCGAAGACTAAACTGCTTTGGTAATTTTACATATAGCACCAACACTTTAGATTGTATGAAACTCTACTAAATACACCTCAAAGCAACCATTACACGCATGTATGGACAGTCATTTATTAGCTGGGAAAAGATGGGCACAGAATGGCGTAAAATAAACTGCTCGGCTTTAAATTAACAATTATGTAAAGAACATCATGTTCACTGCAACAGAACTATTACTTAAGGTAAAACCAAACTCATAATTTCAAAAAAAACCGTCATAACCGAAACATAAGTGAGATCCCCGATAAACAAAAGAAGATTTGGCGGATGAAAACTACCATGTCCTACATGAAGAGAAATCAAAATGAAAATCTGGGAAATTTGTCTCAGTAGAAGAAACCAAGTACTTTCCCCCCAACATTCTTTCTTCTTGCCTCTTCATGGTCCATGATGCCAGCTGACGTGGTGAGCACGATGTATCCAAACTGCATAATATAGCGCATAAATCGCATATTGTACCAATTTCATTTGAGTTGTGACTAAACCTTAATGATGGATAATCAGAAGTATCAACATTCGGGCATATTTTGTTTGATTGTCTAATAAGAATTTCTTGATCTTAGAAAATCTTAGTTCTTATGAAAATGCAAATACACAGAAAATAAACATTGGAAAATTACTAAGCTAACCTGTCTGGAAGGAAGTAGCCTAGCAGTCCAACCCTCAATCTCTTTGACTCCGATGTCAAAACGAGGACTGATCACACCACACTTGTTCAGCCTCCCGTTCAGTTCAACCACAATTTTTCCAGCTCTGTGGTCATCAACATACTCAAACTCTCCAATGTAACCTTCAATGCCAATCATTAAAAGAAAGAGAAAAATTATCAGCATTTTCATATTACAACTATAGGTAACAAAAAACTTCATTTTTAATAAAAAGGGTGGGGAGTATAGATCAACAAACCATGCTTCTGCATGACCAAAAGGAACTTAATGATCACTTTGGAGGAAGGCCTGATCATGACCTGTCGTTTGCCTCTCTTCTCGGCATTGTACATGCTCTTAAGTGCATCGTTCAAAACGCTGACTCTCACCATCTTCTTAAGTCCAAACTACTGTAGATTTTTTAATGAATAACAATCAATAATTTAGTATTCAGAAAAGGGACTCATCAGCTCAAAAATTAGATAAAAATAACATATCGTTCTTTAAGCTAACACTAATTTTAGTCAATGACATCTATATGCCACTCTCTTGATCAAAGAGAAACAAAAATTAACATTACAACCAAAACCCAACATTCTTCAACTATATTAAATTATTCAGAGCCATTTTTTGCTGACATATAGATTATAGACAAACAAAGACAAATGCTTAGGGCAACAAACCTTATGTAGAACATAGAGGCAAATTATCCTAAACTTGGCTAGAAGCCCAAGAAATTTGACTCAGACCATGTCAATAACACACACAAAACAAAGAGGATAAAATTAAAATATGGAACTAGGATAATTCAAATCCATAAAAAGAAAAAAGGGGGCCAAAATTAGCAAAAAAAAGTTGCAACGAAATTTAATTGGAAGAACTGAACAGATAAAAGTGGATAATTTTCTATAATTTAGGAGAAATGAGAGCTTACCTGAGTGAGCAAAAAGGGCTGCCGCTTCTGTGTTTTTTTTTTCTTTCAGGAGCAACAGAAAAAGAAGAAGTGAAACTAGGGTTTTCTGAGGACTAATGCTTTTATATGTGTCTTCTAAATAAAAACTCATCTGCTGGACTGACAGAACCACTCCAGAAGGCCCAATTAAAAGGATTATGGGTCGCGTTGGATGAGATAAATAACTCTTTTTTCAATAATCTAAATAACTTTTTGGTATTGTTTAGTATCTTAACTATCACTTTTATTTCACTTTGGTCATTCAACTATTTTTTTAAAATATACCTAACGGTACATTTTGATTTTATTTTTGTTATTCATTGTTAAAAAAATAACAAAACTATTGATGTGGCATTTTTTTTATTTTTTTAATGATGACACGTCATCATCATAGTTAATTTTTTAACAGTAGGTGACCAAAAGTAAATTAAAATATAACGTTAGGTATGATTTTAAAATAAGAAATAGTTGATTGACCAAAATGAAACTAAAATGATAATTAGAGTGCTAAACATGTAGTTTGCCTTAACTTTTTTTTGTAGTTAAATAAAATAACTACTTAATTTACTCAAATTTTTATATATTTGATGTACATGGACAGATAATTCAATTGTAAATAATGTATATTTTTTTTATTTTATTTTCTATGTTTAACAAGTCTTTTTGTTTAGTTAGTCTTAAGGTGATTTTAATCATTTCAATAACATAAGGGTATTTGGTTATTTTCACACTTAAGGGCAATTTATTTATTTTAACACATAAAAGTATTTCAATCATTTTATGGAGTCTTAGGGTGTCGAGCTCACCTAATAAACCATACGAGTATATTGGTCTTTTAACAAAAGTTTAGAGCTCCAAATTCATTTATTAAGTAATAAGTATTTTGGTAATTTTATAAGGTTTTTGTAAAACCTTTAACACGTATACGTACCTGAATACGAGTAAAAGATACCACATAGCTTTTACATACATTCTATAATTGGAAACTCAGTACAAAGTTGAACTTTTAAAATTTATCTAATTTAATCCTTTCAATAAAAAATATAATCACGTAAAATAATATAATAATTAAACATTTGAATCATTATCAGTTTCATGCAACAATTAAACAATTCTATATTATTTCATATCATAAAGTAAACTGCCTAAAAATTGTCTAATTTAAAAATATTTCTTTATTTAATAAATATATTTTTATCTAAAACACATTACTTATATTCATATTTATATTCATAATAACATATCTCACACGTTTCTTATTCGTATATATGTCATCTAGAAAATTTAAAATAGCAGGATGTCATACTGATACCTGTAATTAGTATTTGTTGATTGATGTCAAACTCAACTCCTTACTCCACTTGCTCTTCTTTACATACGCGTAAAAATCATCATACACTAAGTATACACTTAGTGAGACATTATAACAAACTAAGGTGATATAAAATATTAAGCACCTGAACAACATTGAAACAATATATTTCCTTATATAAAACTTAAAAATGTCATAACAATTTAAAACATTAAACTTAAATTCAAATATAATCATTAAATATCTAAACCGATTTATTCAAGCCATTTTTCCTCATCAGGGACCTGAAAATCATCATCTCATGATCTTATCAAAACCATGATAAACAATATCATACATAATAATCATATCATATTCATTTTTCATTTTTCATTCACATACATTTAAGAACTTTCATATTTCATTTTCATCTTTTACTTTCATATTCATTTTCATAACCAGTACTTTCACATTTCAGAATTCATTCTCAGATTCAGAACCGATTTCCAGATTCAAAACTTACTTTTAGATTCATAACTTAATTTCATATTCATAGCTTAATTTCATATTTATAACTTAATTTCACATTCATATCCCAATGCATATTTATGAGAATGCAAGGTACGTGAGTCATACATAATGTGCACACTAGGCAGTACACGGTGCTAATCATCATCATAGGATGCACTCCAAGTGCAAATCATATCATATGCACCAACGGTACCATACGTAATGTACACGAATGTACCATGACTTAACTTGAACTTTACTCGACTTCCTAGCATGCCAAGTGTACCTACGACTCTCAATGCAACATACAACAAGTTTTCCCATTAATTATTATATGTTATTGAATTTTTGAAGATATCAATATCTCAACATATCCAACTTTTCATATCATAACACAATAGGCAATTCATTCCCTAAACATTTCATTTCCCCATAACATTTATATATCATGATCATCGTCAATTACTTTTCTTTAACATTTACACATCATATTCATCATGTAATAAATATCATGTCAATTATAATAAAGTTGACTCATTTCGAACTTTTATAATAGCATATAACATAGGAGTAACATGATAACATAATTTATGACAAATTTTATATGCTAGCAGTTTGCACTACCTTCAAAGAAATATCATTTTGTATTAATATACAGACTTAAAAATTATTCTGTTTATACCAATAGCAACTAGACTCGAATAAAAATCTAACCATATAAGGCACTTTTTCTAGTTCAACTTGTACAATTTATAGTAAAATTTCAAATCTGACTTACATGAGTTGTTTTTTAGAAGAAATTGATGCCCTGTTTTCTGACCTATCCTTATAAAAAAATTCATATCTTTTTATATACTCCTTGAAATCATTATTCGTTTATTTTAAACAAAACTATATTGATATACAAATCTAACGATATAAAATTCATCCTCTAACCATTTCTGTATAATTTATGGTGATTTTCTAAACATATTGTTTCAAGTCACAAGTATAGGCATATTTCACTAGTTTGCATTCTTAGCTTATTCATTAATTTTACTAGCTTACCAAATTAACATATAGGCTTGAATCACAATTCACATAAAATTAGGAGCCACTTCTTACCATAGTAACTCCGTCACTAACTCATCGCAAGCTAATGTTTGCTCGATAACATAAATAATTAAATGCACTCATATAGTGTCCTTAGCTTGCAAACCTTCCTTAGAAATTCACATTCATCCTTAAGCTTCTCTATAGCTTTAATATTGATTGGTCATTATTTCAATCATAATATAAATGGACACCATTTACAAAATATATACATTTCAAACCACATGTTAGAATCTTACTAACATAGGCACACAATAGAAAAATAAATTCCTAAAAATCTTCTGGAAGTCATCCGATACTAATTTCTTATCACAACAAAAATGTTGATCTCAAAGCTTCAAATTGACCATTCAAGTCCCTTTTTATCCATATTCATCACTAAGGCACACAATATTTTCAAACTTCACATTTTAACCACTAATTATGATTTTTTTTCGAATTCATTTCAATTTTTCTGTTGTACTCAAACTGATCCCTTGCCATTTTTTCCTCAACTCAAACTTCAATCAATTTAATTAAAATTTACAGCATTTAATTCCAGCATAATACCTCAACATTTACACCATTTTCACTTAAGTCACTAACTTTCTCATATTTTTAATTTAGTTCTCAAACTTCACAAACTTTCCAAAATAACCAAATTTCACATTATAACATCAAATTCAACATTATAACATTAAATTCAAGCATAGTAAATATTCTATTTAACAATTACACATTAACCCCATAACTTTCCATAATTATTGAATAGGTCCCCCAACTTTCAAAAAATTACAAATTGGTCCAAATAACTTTCTAAAGCTTGTAGAACCTTTCAAACATCATTTCTAAGCCTAAGGAATTTTTTTCATAATTTTACCCCAATTATTTCCTTGAGGCCGAATATTCTATGGTTTAGGGTTCTTGATTTTCACTTGATTCAAGCATGGATTTCACCTCTAAACAACATTTCAAGGCTTCTACAATTAAACCCTAACTTAATTTAACCAAATCACATATTCTTAAAAACCCTAGGTTTAGGATGAACATAATTAAGCTTGATTTCAAGTGTTTTAATCATCACACATGCTTTAGAAATAATCTATAACATCAAAAAACATAAAAATCAAACATGTCCTTCATAAAACCCTAATCTCCAATCTCATCATATAAGCATGATTTCCATGTAATTTGTATACCAAATGATAGAGAATTTTAAGAGGATTAATTCTCTCTCTAATAGCTAAATCCAAAAATCAATCGAATAAGCTTAAAAATAAAATCAAAATTTCTCCTTACCTAACTATGGGGGTGAACGACTTGAGCATGAAGAGGGACGGAAAATTCTTGTTTTCTCTTCATAATTAACAAATAAACTTGTCTTAATTTAATATAAATAAATTTAAAATTCCTTTAGTTGGAAATTATCATTTTAACCTTACCAAAGTATGATAATTTCCACTTTGCCATTGCTATAACATCATCCATGACACCATCTTATCTATATCATCTTGAAAGTCAAAGATGAAAAAAATAAAAATCCACTTTCCACCTTTGCTCTTGCAAATTTTTAAAAACTACAATTTAGTCATTAAATTTTTCAATTTTGGCTAAATATGGAAAAACGACTTCAATTCCACTGAACCACATTAAATTTCACTGTTCTAAAATTTGGAAATAATATTTCCAACCTCTATCTATCATCCTTTAATTTTTTGTGAAATTCTGATTCAATCCAATTATTCAATTCTATACCGAACTTTACTGCCTTATAGCCTTTAATACAAATCCTGTACCGAAATTATGATTCCCACAAAACGTCATTCTTGGGGATGATCTATTCATTTATGGAAGAAAATTTCTTTTCGGGAAAATTACCGCTTTGGTCATTGAACTTTTCCAGCCACTAACCTTTCAAAATTTACATTTTGGTCACTAACCAAAATTTGGGATATTACAGTTTTAGCTACTGTTTTATAGTTTTATGGATTCAAGCCCGTCCATTAAGCTTTAAGGGGTATTTGGTCTTTTCATAACACATAAGTGTTATGGATGTTTTAAAAAATTTAGGCTTTAAACTATGTTTGAAAGATATTTTAAGGGTCGTTTGGAAATGTTTATGGAAGTGATTTTGGTACAAAATTCAGTTTGAAACACATAAGCATTCCCAAACAACTCAATTTCAACAAAAAAAAATCACATTTGAAAAAACATTATTGACTCAAACCAATAAGTTAAAAAAATGGTGCTTTTACGTTGAAAAAACTCGTTTAGAGAAGTATTCCCAAAACAATCCTAACCTATATACAGTTATAGTTCATACAAGGTCATTACATGTGTTTCGAAAACACTTAGACAAGGATGGAGTCATGATTCAAACTCAGCCTCAGGGGGAAAAATACAAATAGTCATAAAAAATAAGGGGGACAAAATATAATAAACTATAGAAAATGAGGGGACAAATTTAAAATAAACTAAAACCAGAAGCTTTAATTTGGAATTTACTCGTTTAATTTTTTTAATAATAAGGGACAATGTCCCCCGAACGATGCATAACTTCATCCCTGACTTAGACCCTAAATCTAACTATATATTTAGTGCTATGGACATTTTATTTATCTTTTAATGTTTTGTGATATTCTAGGTAGATTAGCACTTAGGTGGCGTTTGATTCGCTGTAATGTTTCTAAGTGAATTGGAATATGTGAAGGAATTGAAATCTGAATCTGAAACATGTTTGGTTGGCAGGAAATTTAATTGGAATCCAATTTCATATTCTGTTTTGTTCGCAGACATGTCAAATGAATTTGATTTCAGTAATGTAAAATGACATAATTACTCTTATTGTTTTTTTTTTTGCTTAATTTTAGTTTGTTTTATAACTTACATGTAGTAATATATTATAAAAATTTTAAAAATATTAAATTTTCATTTTATTAATTGATTATTCATTTAATAAATTATAAAAATCATACTAATAAACAACATAAGTTAAAATCATCCCAATTAGGGATGGCCATGGGTCGGGTTGGGTCGGGTTTTTGGTTCACCCGACCCGACCCGAGAACAAGGGAACCTCCACCCGAAACCCGACCTGACCAAAATAAAGTTTCACTCGACCTGACCCGAATATATGAATTAGAAACCCAACCCGACCCGAAATAATAAAAAGTTATTTTTATTCAATAAAAACAGTGACTTAATTGAAAAAAATTATATATAGAGAGGTATTATTGTAATTATTCCTAAATATATAAGGTAAAATTATATATTTTTTTCGGGTCAGGTAGGGTATTTTTCACCCTAAACCCGAACCGACCCGAATATCACACTTAAAAAAAACCCGACCCGACCCAACCCGAATATCACACTTAAAAAAACCGACCCGAATATCACACTTAAAAAAACCCAACCCGACCTGAACCCGAAATTTAAAAAAATATCGACCTGATCCTGAATTTTTTTTGAAAAAAAACCCGACCCGAATATCACACTTACAAAAAGCGGACCCGACCGAATATCAAACTTTTAAAAACCCGACCCGACCCTAAATTTTTTTTAAAAAATCGATTGATCCCGAATTTTTAAAAAAAAAATTTGACCCGAATACCAAAAGATTGATGATGGTAGTATGATCAAATTTCACATTCCCTCCTCCAAAGGATTTCAATTCCATCATGTTATGGATGGAATTTACTTTTCCTCTCTTGATGGAATTGGATTTCAATTCCCCCTTTGAAAACTTGAGCCAAACATGAGAAAGTGATAGAATTGGATTCAAATTCTCCCTAATTTAAAGGGATTCCAGCGAACCAAACGACACATTATAATTTTAAACTAGGCTTGAAAATTATTGTAGGTGGGTTGGGTAACCTAACCTAAATTCAAAAGGGCCATTTAGGATATAGAAACTCAGAATATCTCGAGAAGTTCAATCAGAACTCTGTTTTGAAAACAAAGGATCAATTTTGAAATCATTAGGGTGGGCTATGATTTCAAAACTTAAACTACGTACGTCTTGGGCTACTTGAATTTGGGTTTCAAATTGATAATCCCTAATTTCAAAATTGAGGGGCTCTTTGTTTGCCTCTTAATGGAAATATTCTGCGTTGAATGTTGAACCGTTCAACATTCAGCGCGTTTATTTCACACCTCTGAATGATTCAGTGCTGACTGATTCAGCAAAACAGTGCTGAATGATTCAGCACAGAAGTACATTCTGAATCATTCAGAGCCAGTTATCAAACAACATATCACATTCAGAGCCAAACCATTCAGAGCCTCTGAATCATTCATCATTTGAATCATTCAGCGCTTAATCATTCTGAAGTAAACAAACAACCCCTAAGATTAAAAAACACAAATTTTGAGTCTAAGAATGCCTCTAATGCATCCTCAAACCTCAACCTTACTCCAAACACTCCCTATACATAAACTAATAAAAGCATACACAAACTAGTTTTAAAAACACACTTGTACAAGGAGGACTGAGGGGCGGGTGGACAATCGTCCAGTTGAAAATTTAAAATTACCATATATTTTAGATCTTTTCTATCTATTGAAAATCTATTTTCATCCCCTAATATAAACCATGTGTCCCTCCATACACTTGTATCTTTAGTCATTAACAAGCACCACCAAGCGTTTAAGACACCATGAACAAACCAAGCAACATATTTAAGCAACCAAATCACATATTACATACATTATAAAATAAAATTAGGTTAGATATGTATTACCCTCATTTTCAAGTTTAATTACACCTCTACCATCTTATCCTCTCATTTTCCCATGGATGATTCTCTAACCTCCCTTGCTACTCAACTAAGGAAAGATAGGGATAAAAATGACATCTTGAAGATTAGAATGAAAAATAAATAAATGTAGAAATGAAATAACATAATTCTCTCTTAACATTGTAACAATCTCGAATTTGGTCGTATCACCGTTTTTGGATTTGCTAAGCTTATTCAGAAAATCAAAGAATGACAAACAAGATGATTAATTGGCAAGCTCAGATGCACAAAAAGCTTAAAAAAATCATATCCAAAACTTTAAAAAAAAATCATGTAGGAAAGATGTTTTCAAAATTTACATTGTTAAAATCATTTTTTTTTCAATTTTATGAAACGTATTTTAAAATATAAATAAAAATTACATTTTAAAATTAAAATAAAAACAAAATCTAATTTTAAAAGCTTTTTATTTCCCAATTTAATTATAATGTAAAAATAAATTAAAAATTCTTGAAACTCTATCTCCAAATCCTTCAACACATATGAAACTTGATTTTCAACTCCAAAATCGAAATACCTACGTTCTCCCTCTATTCCAAATTTTCAGCTTATAAAAAACTATTTTATCTTTTAAATATCTTAATTAGTGTTGAAGTCGGACACTAATTTCCATTTGTTTTATTATTTTAATTATATCATCGTTAATTAACACACAGCCATGCTCGAAATTCATACAGCTCTAGGAAATTACTTGATTATGAACTTCAGATTAAATAGGAATACCTTCTTGATGATATAGGTCGGTATCTTTCACTACTTATAAATAGCTTCTTCTCTTTCATTCTCTTTAAACCACATTGTTAGAATTCATTAAAAAAATTAAGCGAATAAGGTGGATTTTCAGGGGGATATGGCAGTGGAGGTGGCCGGCGGCCGGGAACAAGGGATGGACGGTGCCGCCGCCCAAGACAAGTTGATAACTGAAAACCTTGAGAGCAACAAGCCTTCTGCACTCTCCGGCGTCCATGATGATGAGTCGAACAAAAGCCATAGAATTCTCCGACTATTCGGAGCCGATATAATTTGCAGAAACTATCCCGAGACTTGTTCAATGAAACCAGAAGAAAGGGTCGATGATGGTAGACTTCGTTTGGAGTCCGGTGAGTTCAGTAGAGCTGCAAAGAAGCCGAGACAGAAAGATACTTCCGGCCGCCATCAACCAGTACCTGATTTGCCAGAAACGTTCAAAGATATCATCAACGGAATGGGAGGAAGCGGTGAGAAATTGATTATACAAAAGAAATTGTACAGTACTGATCTGAGCAAGGGTCATTGTCGTCTCTCCGTGCCTCTGAATCAGGTGAAGGTGGAGTTTCTTACCGATGAAGAGAAGAACTTGCTGGAACAAAGCTCCAAGAAAAGTATAGAAGCGTTGATCATCGAGCCATGTTTGAGGAAGAGCAAGATGTTTTTGAAACGATGGGAAATGAGGAAGCCAAATGGGAAACCTAGTTCAGTGATCTATGTCTTCACGGGACGATGGAATTCCCTCGCAAAAGATAATGAACTCAAGGAGGGCGATTTAATTCAAATGTGGTCCTTTCGACAAAACTCCAAATTATGTTTTGCTTTGGTACTTGTTTATCCACATCTCGGTGAATAAGGAAGATGGTACCAGAAATTTATAAAGTAAGGGGTAAGTTATGTATTTAGTTACTTGATTATTATTTTGTCGTTTTGATCATTTAAGGGTTTGTTTGTTTCACTGAAAACGTTTTCCGAAAAATATTTTTCATAAAATGAATTATATTTTCTGAAAAATATTTTATGATATTTGGAAGATGTTATTTAAACTCTTTTTCCACTAGTTGATGAATTTTTAAAAAATTATTTATTACAAATATTAAATATAATAAATAACATTATTTATCATAAAATTTAATATTATTTTTAAAATATTAAAATAATTTATTTATTATTAAAATATTATTTTTATAATTTTATTAATAAAAATATTAATATTGGTATATTTTATTGAAATAAAATATTATTTTATATTAATTATTTATTAAAGTAATAGTGTTATATTATATTTTTAAAATATTAACTAGTATATTTTAAATATCTTTATTAAAATATTATTAGATTATTATATTAATATTAATTATATAAATAATATTATTTATTATTAATAATTTAATAATATTATTTCTATGAAATTAATAAATAATATAAATTTTATTAATAACTTATATATTATTAAAATAAAAATATAATATCTTATATTATTATAATATAATTGATTATTTTATTATAATATTATAAATATAATATTATATTATTAGAAATATTAATAAATATATTTTAAATATTTTAATAATTAATATTTTGATTAAAATGATATTAAAATGTTTTATTAATATTAAATGCATAGAATAAAATTATTTTGAGTATTTATTCTTTGAAGTCAAAAGTTCAAAAAATGATTTACGGAAAATCAGACCGTAAGTCATTTTCCACAAAACACAAAGGAAATTCTGTTAACCAGAAAAATGTTTTTACATTGACCAACCAATTTTCCTCCAACCAAACACTGGAAAATGAGAAAAACATTTTCCGGAAAACGTTTTACATGAAAACGGACCATAATTATTTTTTAACACAAACTAAGCGACCTCAATGGTAAAAGAGTTGTTATTGCTCGAAGTTTTAGGTTTGAGCACCAGGAATGCTAGGGGTGTGAGCGTTCAATATCAAATGGTTGAGAGTTATGTTTGAACATATACTATTTTGTATTTATCCTAGATTAATAAAAAAAACTATTTTTCTAAGAATCGTGCTTAATATTATGTTTTGATTCTATTTTAGTTATTCAATGTTCAAAAATAAACAAAAACGTCGGTAATTCTTTTATTTTTACTTTTCAATGATAATGTGGTCATTACCTTATAGTGAGATGTAAACTTTACCCTTAATTATTTAATGGTGGGTGATCAAAGCAGAATCAAAACTAATATTATGTATGATTTTAAAAAAAATAAGTTATAGGATTAAAACAGAATTAAATTAATAGTTGAGTGACTAAATACGTAATTTACCCTAAAATCAAAGCATCAGCTCTGGTAATCATATTTGCATCAGGCCATGTATATACATTGAACGTTTCCAGACCTTATTACAACTTTTGTGCACGACACAATTTTTTAAAAAGAAAATAGTTGCTTATTTAATGAAAGCTTGCTGCAATTTGTTAATATAGTCGTTCCAATTGTCATGCACATGAAATATCCAACCAACTCAATATATTTATCATATCAATTCGAAGATATTATAAACTATTTAAAAATTTTAAAAACACTTAATAATTGGAAGTGTTTAATATTAAATAAATAATAAAATATTTTAAACTTAATCAAAACATAATACCAATAACTTAGGTAAATAGAACATGATATATTAATGTCATATTATTAAAACATTTCAATTTTATATTATTCTAAATGATCTCGTTGTACTATATCAAAATTTATACAAAAAACTATAAAACCAAAAGGAAGTGTTGAGGGTAAGAATCGTAAGGTGCCGTTGACCACAATGCACAATGCTAAAACTCGTATGGTAGTTAGTGGACGGTTAACAGTATCATTTAGTCTAAACGGTTGGTAAACCGTTATAACGGTTATAAATTTTTTTTAATCGTAACCTAACCATTAAAAAATGGTTAATTGCTAATGGTTAATCAATATTAACGGTTCGGTTACAAGTTAACCTATTACAATTATTTATCAATTTTTTTTCATAATTCATACTACAAAATATACATATAACGTAACACAAATTTACACCGATGTAAGTAAAAAAAATAAAAAAATGTAACACTTAACGCATTCTTACATCAGTGTAATTATATACATCTTCAAATATCTTAGTACCTAATAATAAACACATAATTATATTGGTGTAAGAATATTTCTATATTTTCAAAGAAATAAAAATTAAAAATGATTAATAAATAAATATATATATGAAATTATTTGTATGCTAATTTTATTAAATATATATAAAAATTATAAATAATAGAAAACTATATTGAGTTATTTGTGTAAAAATATAATAAACTATAAATATAATTATAAATTTAATTTCTTAAAGGTTAACCGTTTATCAAAACTTGTAACCGTAACCGTAACCTTAACCATCAACCATTATTTTTAGTGGTTCGGTTAATCGAAACCATTTAATATTAACGATTCGATTAATTAACTTGTTAAATATAATGGTTATAGCGGTTACAGTTAACGTTTCTGGGTTTTTTTAACACCCCTAGTAGTTAGAAGTAAGAACACTCCGAAATCCTGCATGAGATAAATTTATAATAACCCTAATTAATGATATTATATATAAACAGAGACAAGCATATGACTTTAAGTTAGGGGTTGAACTTTTAGAGGTAAGTGAACTTACAAATTTCTAAAGGAATCAAAATAAATTATCAAAAAAATATCTAAAATATATTCTTATTTGAAATTTTCAAGGTGGGCGATTGCCCTTAACCCCTCAAATTCATCCATGGGGTATTGGGTAATAACGACTCTTTGTAAACTGACAGACTAAACAAATATGATCAACAAATTCTATTAGATGTATTTTCTAAAGGTCTTGTTTTTATATACCTTGACTGATTCAAAAACTTGCATCTGGAGTACATAGATTCTTTGAAGAAAAAAATTAGTGAATTAAGATATGTATTCGAATGTGTCTGAAAGAGAAAAGAACTGGTTGTATCTAGAGTTATTCTCTAGAGGTATAATAAAAACCAATGAAATTTGTCACTATTGATAGGAACACATTGGTTTTATTGGTCATTGACGATTCACCACTTTTAATTTGAGCGAAGAGTCACGAATGATGATAAGAAGAATTTTATAGATTTTAAAAAATTAAAGATTTTAGGGGTTACTTTAGAAATGAGAGATTTTGGGTTTTGAGAAAATAAAATGCCATGTGTTTTGTACTTATTGAGGGAAAAAATTAACGGAAGTAAATAGCTGTCGTAACCGTCTTTCGGTTGGGCCCCGAATTGGGCTTCGACTTGAAATAATTGGGTTGGGAGTCGCCACCGACCACTTTAAAACAGATAATGAAAATTAACATATATATATATACATACATATATATATATATATATATATATATGTAATCTAAAATATATACTAAAGTAAAAAAGAAAATGCATAAAATGTAAAAAAATATTACATAAAACAAATAATAACAAAACAATTAAATAAAATGAGTAACAAGGGAAATGTGCATATAAATAAAGTTAAATAAATAAAATAATAATAATTAAATAGTAAATGTAAGGGACCAAATCAAAAGTAAAAAAGATGCTACCTTTTATTTCCTTTTCGAATCGTTTACAATAGCTTTGCCTTTGTATTTTCCGTGCTTTCCTCTGTATTTTTGTATGTAAATCGTGTGTTACAAATGGGGAGGATTATATGTATTTATAGTGAAAAAAGCTAACTATTTTTAGAATCCTATTAACAATAGAATCCTAATGCGACTAGACTCCTTGCTCGGTTGTTGCACGTTTGTTGGTGTGGTTGTTGCTTTAAAAGATATGGTGGTGGAAGAGTCCTCATAGGAGAGGAACTCTTGCTAGTTCTATCTTTTAAGAAAATAGGTGTCTACAGCTGCCCATCTTTGTCCTTTTTCGTGGAACGAAAAATAAGACAAAGATAAAAAGACACAAATTTTCGTTCAGTGGAATTGAAGAATAACTCCCTGTCGAATTGAATTGCGGATGGCTCCTCCGTCACGAAGTCGAGTCCATCTTGAAATGATTTGAATCAGAATGTGTCTTCTCGTTGTAGTTCACTTTGGTCTTCTTCTCGGTTTAAAGACCTTGGCTAAAAATTTGACTGGAAAGTAATCTCTTGACTCCACAATGTGGTTGATATGCCCTCAAGCTGAATGAAACCGAACTCGAAAAGTCTTCGTTGACATATAGCTTTTCTCGACTTAAGCTATGTTGACGGAAAAATGCTTCTTGCTACTAAGGCAAGGCTAACCCAGATCTTCTTCTTGGCTTGAAAACCTCGATTGTAGCCGGACAATAGTGTGATTGAGGTGTCATCGAGATGAATTGAATCGAACTCGATAATTTTATTGACAAATAGCCATTCTTTCCTTGAGCTATGCTGTAAATGATGTGTCTTGGAGCTGAGCGTAGTCGAACTCGAAGGTCTTTGGTTGGCAGATAACCCTTCTAGCCTTGAGTTATGTTGTAAATGATGTGCCCTCAAAGCTGAATATAATCGAACTTGAGGGTTTGGTGTTTCAAGAGAAACATCTTCAATGGTTTTTTTGTGTTTCAAGAGAAACAATTTCAAAGGTTTTTTTTGTTTTTCAAGAGAAATTGTATTCAAAGATTGAAGTTTCAAGGGAAACAGTCTCAAAACTTGTTTCAAGGGGAACTGATTCAAATATTTTGTATTTCAAGGGAAACGTTTTCAAAGTTTATGCTTCAAGAGAAATTGTCTCAAGGGAGACAAAATATGCTTCAAAGGAAACTGTCACAAGGGAAACTATCTCAAGAGAGACAAAATTCATTTCAAGGGAAATGTTTTCAATGTATATGTTTCAAGAGAAACTATCTCA